AGCATTTTCTGGCAGATGTTGAAGGACCTCAGTCGCCTCAAAAAATAGAGACGACTCTGGCCCTTCCTGTAAAGTGCTGTGGTGTTTTACCTTTCCAGTTTCCTCAAATTTTCTAAGGTCAACATATGCAAGGTTTTCAGCTAATAGCTGTTTGTGAATGACAAGATATCTGTTAGACTGTATTAACTTTGATGCTCTATGCTTAGATAAGTTACAGGTCAGTGTTGAGTGTCTTAAATAGAAATTATTCATTTGAAAATGGTCAGATACAAGAATTGGACTGAAAATGATTGAAAAAGCAGATAATGTGAAAGAAAACCTGAAGAACTTTTGTTTAAAACCACTTTACAAAATTACAAGAATGTCTAGCTCTTTGGCATTTTTCTTGTAAGATATACTTTTGTGTTTGACTCTTTTGTTCCTCCAAGCCACAGGTGTCAAGCTCCAGTCCTCAAGGGCAGTATCCTTTAACTTTTAGATGTGTCCCTGCTGCAACACACCTGAATAAATTTAGTAGGTCGTTAGCACTTCAGCCATTTGATTCATGTTACAGCAGCTAATGAATGAATGAACATGGTGCAATAAAAGTACTTTTAAAAGTACATTTTTCCAAACACTTAAAATTTATTTAAATTTACTTGAGTATGATTAGTGGTTGCCACCTCAGCATGCAGTCAAGACCTATAGTGTCTTGCTAATGATCTACTAATGTTATTCAGGTGTGTTGGAGCAGGGACACATGTTAAAGATTCAGGATACTGGCCCTCAAGGACTGGAGTTTGACACCTCTGCATCTAAGCAGTTGCACCAATGAGAATGCACCACGGTCCTGCTTGTAGTTCCTTGCGAAGGCTTTGGAAATGATACTTCCAAAACACCATTCTACCAGAACCCTACGGCACACATGAGTCAGGCTGTTACCACCACCGCTCAGCTGTGGGGGGCTACAAGTATGATGTAAACAGAAGATTCTGAGCAATCCTCCCTTATGATAAGGTCTGGAAATCATGAGCTGCACCTTTCTGTAGTGTTTCGCAAGAATGAATGAAAAAGCGTACTGGAAAGCGCATATACCTTGGAGGTTTATGCAAACCATAATCTTGTCATTCCTGTTCTCCTTGGTACCTGGATTAGAGGGATGTGTTATGCAAACATGAGTTCCATGTGTGTAACCCATGAATCATAGAATGCTAACCTAATAGTTAGTATGTGTTGTCGGGGAAGTTTGTGTAATGTTAATTCACAAACTCAAAGTCAGTTAATGAGTTTATTGTCGGTTCACTGACACCACACAAAGCCCCAGTTTCTTTGTGACAAAAACCTTAAAGTAACAAATGCCCAGAGATAAACTGGTTCAGGCCATCCTCTGCAGGTCACAGATGAAAGCTGGATTTCAAAAGCGTAACAATCTCCGTAGCTTTTCCTTTAAACATTCAAACACAATCTCTAAAACTGATTTAATCAAATTGCTGCTGGGGTCACTTCATTAATGTGGTCAAATTAATTTGACATCCTAAAATTAATATGAAGTTAAACCTTATTCCTAGGACGTTTATTTTAAGCATCAATGCAATACTGGAGTAGCACTAAACTTTTTATAGTTAAAACTAGTGATGTGACATTCTGTATCGAGTTTGTATAAGCTGTATAAGCTTGTGTCGAGTAATTGAGGGGGCGTTTCCGCGATGCGCGTATCGAGGCTTGCTTCATTTATGGGAGGAGCTGAAAATGAGACGTCCGAAGCCTCGCTGCCCGGCTGTACCACGTGACTGGTTCAGGAAGTGGTTCGAACTTTGCCGCGAGCTATGACAGAGATATAAACCCCTCAGACTTCATTCAAAATGGGGGTGTTTGATGGAGAGTTGCGGTTAGTGAGAGTTTGGAGACAGTTTGGAGGTTTATGAGAGTGAGGAGAGAAAGTCAGGAGAGAATGGCGCCAGCTAAGAAGAGGAGGATGTCCTCCCCTGTGTGGGAACATTTTGATCTTATTCCTCCCAACAAGGTAAATTTCTACAGAAGATGTATTTTCATAATACTGATGGTGCAATACAATTTATGTTAAGCTGTCTTGACTTTTGTACAAGGTGAAGTGTTTGCTATGTGCCAGGGAGCTGGGATATAACAACAACACCTCATCCACGCTTAGGTACTACAGAGCTTTGCATGAGAATAAGGGGAACACCTATTGTGGAGCAAGACCAGGTGAGCCATCAAATGCCATGATAATATAGCATGCAGTAATGTTACTAAATGATATAACAATATTATACAACTGTAATAAGTTACGTGTGTGATATTTATATTTGTGCTTTGTTCTCCTGAGGAAAGACAATAAAGACAATCTCAAATAGATGAAGACCTGGTTAGCATGGTGATTGAGGACTCCCAGCCATTTAGCATTGTGGAGGACAAAGGATTTAAAAGATTTGTTAAATCATTAAATCCTAGCTATGTTCTCCCCATTAAAAAGGCCATAAAAGCAGTGAAATTTTAGTTTTTACTGAATAAAATGTGAACAGGCAGGACTGAGGCCTCAGTGTGTAGCTGTCCATACCTCAACGTTACAAAAGCACAACCACTGTCCATACTCCAACCACACCTCACCTCACAGTAAATGATCATTTCCATTTTAAGCATTTCCAAATAATCATTTTCCATACTGCCAGTATAAATATACACAGTATACTGCCATCACTACAATATACATGTTTTACACACTCCTTTTGTTGTTGACATTTACAGGCTATGTGCAAAATGCCACTCTCTTCAAATTCATGCTAACTAATATTTTTACGTCCAGTAGATGTCCTACTAGAGCAAATGAAGCTTCAAGACGCTTTGCGCTGGGGTGAACCAATTGGATGAAAAGCTTCAGTGCTTCATGAAGCTTCATCTGCCCATCACTAGTTAAACTTGCGTTAAAACACCCAGACCAGTCATTGAAAAGTTCCACACACATTTAATATGAACAAATTGTTCATGTCAATGTCGCCCTCAAGTGGTCAGTGAAGTAGCAGATGGGGTTAATGAGGTTCAGCTGCTTTGGTGTTAATGAAATTAAGAGCAGCAACAATGAGACAAACCAAACCTGGACCCTACAAAGGTTGCACAGATAGTCCAACTCCTCCAGTGCGGCACATCAATAAATACCATTGCCAGAAGGTTTGCTGTGTCTCCCAGCACAGACTCAAGAGCACAGAGGAGATCCCAGGAAACAGGCAGTTATTATGAGAAAGATTTATAAATTTAAAAAAAAAAAGTGTTCCTTGTGTTAACGTCAATGTCGCCCTCAAGTGGCTGAAAAGTAGGAGAATTTTTTTTAAACAAATAAAATAAAACCAAAAGGAAGGTCAATCTGTCAAATAAAACTACAAACAAATATGTCACTTTAAAGGAGTCCTGATTAAACCGATTTAATGCCAACTTTAATTATCTCTTTTGTGTACATATTCTATTGGAAATACATGTTTATTTATGTATCTGTTTATGTTTATAACAAGACTAACTGACCAAAGGCTAGAAATTTCCAGACCAATGGGAAATCTGTTTTGCTTCTCTATTTGCTGATTTAATCCACTCCAAGAGAATCTTTATTATTCATAAATGTAATAAAATAAAACGCAAGCAACACAAGTGAGTAAATAGACAAATGTATAACTATATACATCTAATGTATCTCCCGATTACAGAAAAAGTAAATCGCGTAACCCTTATTGATACTTACTGCTGGGATTGATCAGAGCTCTGCTGATTCGTGCGAGACGTGCACACTTTGTTCCAAAACACTGAAACGGGTAAATATATCTCCATATAAACCTATATATAGGAAATGTTTGGATAAATGAAATGTTGGAGAGTAATAATGCATTTCCTGATTAAAGAAAAGTTATAATAAAACAGAGATGACAGTAACCCGTATAGACGGTGCTGCTGTTATTGATCAGAGATCTGGAGCTGCCACGTGAGAGACGTGCACACGGTGCCTCTCCTCTAAACATGAAGGCATGGTACTAACACACTGACACACATGTAGGGGGCAGTGTTGCCAAGTGATTGACAACCACGAGGTGGATGCGTGGTTTGTGAACCAGATGACCCCTGTCTAGGTATTCTCGCGGGAACTCGTGTTATTTCTATCCAGTATACGGCTATTTTAATACCATTCGTTTACAAAGAGAAACTAATGTTATTCATTGGTAATAATACAATTCCCACTATTTCCCCCACGGGGTAAACTGACAGTGATAGAGAGTAGAATACAACGCTCTTTTTACTCATTGTCACCGCCCTCGCGGACTGTCGTTTGGGCATAAACATTCGTACCCAATACACGCTGTCCCACGTGCCTGGTAGCTACTGCACAAAAACATGACGGCTGGCTGCTGCAGACTTGGGTACCACGAATGCAGAGTGTAGCAGCTGGTTGTCGTGACAGACCTTAAAACTTTGAGCTTCCTTTAACTCTTAGTTTGCAAGTGAAACTTGTAAAACTTTACGGTATCTTACGTAGTTTTATCCGTGAGGAAAGCTGTGGGGAAACTTGTATTTACGAGTTTCGGGGCTAAAGAAACAAAGAAAGTCGCTAGCACTTTTTGAAGCAGTAGTTAGGCCAAAATTAGCATGTCGGTCGACGCAAATCAAGTTAAAAGCCGTCCTATCCCCACCAGGGTGCTTACCCTGAAGGACTGGTCCCAGCTACCAGACTGTTACAGCCAAACACCCGGGGGTACCCTGTTCTCCACCACGCCTGGAGGTAAGAAAAACTGCACTGTGTTGTGTTTTTGTGTTATCAATTTATGTTTTCAGAACTCAACAGGAAAGAAAAAGGGGAAAACCCTCGAGAAGTTCGACTTTTGCTGGAAACTAATGGTTTGTGCCTACGTCCAAACGGTCACGCGCGTCATCTCTCGCGAGAGGCTGCACGCGACAACATAAGTGTCTGATGTAATATTAGTTTCCCCTAACGTCAATAAAAACAGCCCTCGCACTTGCTCGAGACCAAAAACCGGGCAAAGATGGGGCCCCTGCCTCGTTTGTAGATTGAGAGCATGCTCACAGCAGGCCACAGCCCCGTATGTTCACGAGTGTGCTTTACCTGCATCGAGTTGGTTAATACTCTAACGTCGGTGTTTTGTTTCTTCCTAAAATGTTTTTTCTTTTCTTTTTTATACATGTATAACTACATACATATTGTTAAAGTTCTGCAGTTAAACTTGTATCGGTAAGGCTTATAACAACACTGCCCTCTGTGACAAACGAAAACACGGTGGTCTAATCGGTGACTTGTTGCAGCGTCAAACTTACTGATTGTTGTCTCAAACACAACACGCCCAGTCTTAACTCGTGACTTTTAGGGTGTATGTGTCCGGCTGCCAGAAATGCAGAGTGATTGGCCTTCGCAGTGGTGGAGGAGCGGGAGGCCGTCCTATCCCTGCTTCTCTCTGTTCTGCATTTGAGGAACAGTAGAGAACATTCTGTACATTTTGAAGGGGGGGGTGTGTGAAATGTGTAATGCATGGGGGAATGTAAACATTTCAAGAAAAAGGCCTAAAAATGGATGCCAAAGGACACGTGACAGGATGTCGCTACTGAGTTTTGACTTGAGTTAAACTTTGTATAGTGACACATTAAATTTTGCACACCCTATCAGGTCGATGCTTGTGTTGCTGACCCCCTTTTTCACATGTAGCTGCATGGCACAGTCGCTGCTTTCACTATAGGTTGCATTCCAGCCCCCTTCCCCTGCCCCATTTCCCTCTGCTTTGCTTCCCTTTGTCTAGGATGAATTGCCCGTAACTGTTTTTCAACGTGTTTTTCCTTGTAGACGGTACAAACTCTATTTTGAAAAGAAAAATAAGTACTTTTAGGTTAATTCATAAGCATTTGATGACTGCTGTATATGTAACAGCTTTCTGCTGAATCAAAATATGAAACATGTGGCTTTAATCAGAAAGCATCTTGCTTCAAAGTGAGAATGTTTTGTGGTTTGATTTCTTGGAATTCCTAGAATTACTGTGACGGCTCTAAACATTGTGTGCACACAACCCTTTCCCCACTTAAATCTCTTCCAATACAGAATAATATTGTCCAAATCTCCAGATGTGCACCTTAGATCACTGCAAAGGGGCTTGAGTAATAACTAGGCTGCAGTTTGAGCTTGCAGAAGTCCAGCCTTTGTTCTGTTGTTTGACTCTTTGTTTCGATTTTAACCCCCACCCCCTCCTAAAACAAAATAGGCACCCGCATCATCTATGACAGAAAGTTCCTCTTGGATTGTCGAAACTCTCCTCTTGCTCGGACCCCCCCATGCTGTCTTCCCCAAATCCCAGGGGTAACTGTACCAGCCACACACTCCACGGGGAAGTTGCAGGATCTCAAAGAGGAGGAAGAAGAGGAAGAGAAAGACATTGCAGGTAAATGTCTTGTACATATAAGATTCATTTGTGTCACCACAACTTGTAATGTGGAATTTTACTTGATATATATTGAGTCTCCTGAAAGTTCAGAATCCTTATTGTTCCCTTTATTTGTGAGAGTGATGTCAGCCAACACAATTTTATCAATCTGAACACTCAGGATAAATACTGGGAGGGGAAAAAAGCTTTGCATGTGACTGAGGTGCCCAAAACAAATAGTTCAATAATTTGTTTTGCAATGTGCAGCTGTTGGGTTAGGGTGGTGGGGGGCATGCCAACACTGATAAAAGGGATTAATAAGCTTCAAGGCATATGAGCCCATGAAATGGAACCTGTTCTTAAGTAAAACCGTTTTTGATTCCTGTCCTTTTCCTAACCCCTGAGGTAGGTGTGTGTGTGTGTGTGTGTGTGTGTGTGTGTGTGTGTGTGTGTGTGTGTGTCGCAATTGACATTAAATCATCCTCCCCTCTCAGATTTTTCTAACTGATACAAAGAAGGCTCCACTGACTGTTTTATGACTAAGTCGAAATGCTGATTAAGCCAGCGTGTCCAGCCTTAACCATCATATGCATACAGCCTGCTGTTCTTGCAGTCCTCAACTCTGCAGCTGAACTGTTTGTTAGCTGTTTACCTTTTTATTAAAAAGAGGCCAGCAGTTTAGTGGTAAACAATCATGTCTGACAAAGTGACTTTGCACGATTAACAGTTCAAAATCTGGTTATCTTAAACTGCATAGATGTTGTTCCTCTCTTTAGAACCATTTTAGCTGTCTTTTGATTGGCGGCCCCTCATGGACAGAAGTCAGAAAGTTGTGTGAGATGATCACATGTTCAGGATATTGTTTTCTGGGCAAGGAGAATAAAACAACTCAAGGAATGAGCATTTAGACGAGTGTTAAGCCTGAGCTTGTGACTCACTGCGATTACTTGTACAAACACAGCCAAAGATTCAGATCATAATGTCACAGGCTGAGGAAAAGCATCATATTTCCACTTTTTTTTTTTTTTTTTTTAAGTTTAATGTCTTTTGGTAAACAACTTGACTTATTATTATTATTATTATTATTATTATTATTATTATTATT